CATAATCCAATGCAAGGTTGCGAATCGAGATACAAATTCCCATTTAACATTCATATTTGACCACTAATACTCCCAAAAGGTAATTTCTTTAATTTGATTGTTATATTTTCCGATTGAAGAAGAAGTTAGGGTTGTGTAGATTTAGGGATTGTATAATTCCAAATTAGGGTTTGTAAAATTAGGTATTTCATAATTAGAATTTAGAATTTAGGGTTGTCAACTGACACAACCTGTGTTATACAGCTTTGATATTATATGTTTTTATGTTTTAAAGTAATATTTATGTTACAATGTGGTATGTAGATATTAATTTAGTATGACTTTTTTTATTTGATTATTTATTGAAATAAAATATATTTTATTTAACTAGTAATGGGTCAAATCATATTATCTATTAATTTTAACAGGTAGAGTTTGGGTCAGATCATATAACCTTTTATTTTAAAGGTTTGACACTACACGATCTGTTAAGATATACTGATATAGGGTATGTTACGAAAACGACACGAACACAACAAACACGACACGATCGTCACTCTTTTGTATTTTATTTATTTCTTTGTTGCATTTTTAATTCTTAAATAAACTTGATTTTTATAATAAACTCAAAATAAAGCCACTAACTTCTTTTTTTTGTTTTTTTGTTTTTGTTTTTTTATAAAGTAAATACATTAAAGAACAAAACCTCTAGTACAACTTGTTCCAGCACAGTCAAAATGAAAAGCATGAAAAGCAACTTTAGGAATGCAATGGTCCCAAAAGTGAGTGTTAGAGATAGACATGCCGAAATGAGCTAACTTCTTTACGTGGACGAGGTTGTTTCTTTTGAATTTTTATTTGAAAATTATTTCACTTATTTAATTCAGTTTTTCTTTTTACTTTTAAAAATTGTAAAAAAGGGGCATTTTTGGTATTATGAATGTTTCATCAAATTTGTCATGATGGAATTGAAAGAGTAACGCTCGGTTAACTAAATTTGTAGATTAAAATTGCAGTATTATCAATAAAAAAATAAATACGGAAATCAATACTTAAATAATAATCTAATAATCAACTTTCATATTATTTAATTTACAAAATTTAGTTTGCGGATTTAGTCTTCCTATCATTATCCCAATTAAAGTAGGAGAAATGCCAATTTGGCAAATACGATCTCATCCATCCAACCTCATCATACTTGCTCCCCAAGGAAATCTTAAACCGGATATTTGAAACGGTGTGCTAAAAAATACTGCTTGAGGTCAATTACAAAATTAATAATGTTATATGACCTCGATCTCATCTAAGAATATGCATTGTCATGAAGTTGCACCGCACCCGACGATAATAAATAAGAATTTTTTTTTAATAAACGATATTATCTATATTAACGGGATGAAAGAGTGGGCTAAACCTCATAATTGGTTAACAATAATGTGATTCAAATTTAATTTTGGCAAAAATCAAACATAAGACCATTTACTTACAAGTGAAGAAAAATAACACTAGATCCTAGTACTAGGTGGCAATAGAAATAACATTTTAAAAATTTAATAATGCACTTCAAACTTTCTATATTTGAAAAAAAAAATACTCTTATAAAAATTGCACAATTATTTCTTATTGGTGATACATAATTTAATTTGCAAATTTAATTTATTAATTTAGTGTCTCTAACATTACCCTTAATATATAAATGAGTCATTTAAATTGAAATTAATGTGTGGCTGTGGCCAGCAAGTTCCAATATTTCAAGGGTACGTTAGTCATTACACGAGTGAAAATGCAAGGTTTGCAAGGCCGTGTTTGGCAAGCGTCCATCAGGATCCCGTCTTTTTTGTACAGCCATGAACAAGAGACGACGTGTCACAATTAGAGCCATTCATCTCCACCACCGAACGGCTCTACCAGCTCATCAATTGCGTAGGCGACAAGAGAATATCAGTAAATTACCTAATAATCAATTGAGACTTGGGTATATAAACCCTGACACAGATCTCATGAGAAACCATAAACCCTAAACCCTAAAAAATCATCACACGCATACCTCACAAAGTTACAAACAATTAAACAAACAAACGCTAGCTACATCTTCTCTCTTTGTCTACATAATATGATGATGGCGAGCCGGAGACACGCGGCGAACTCGATGGCGGGCACAGTACGGCTGTTCACCACTGCAACCGCTGCCAATAAGCCTCTGATGGCTGCTGCCGTTCATCTTCTTCCTCTGAATTATCTTCATAGCGGTTGTGGTGGTGCCCTAGTCCGGAGTGCTAGCACCAGTGCTGCAAATGTGGACGTGGCTGCAGAGGGTCATAACACTACGGCCCCTTCCGCTGCTGGCCACGGCGGTGGTAAGGATGATGAGAAGACGATCACCAGCTACTGGGGTGTGGGACCCACCAAAGTCACCAGCAAGATGGAACCGAATGGAAGTGGACTTGCTTTAGGGTACGTACGTACGTATTAGTAGTGTTAATTCTCTTTTGCTGCAAAATAGAAACATATATATACAAACCATTTATGTTTGTTTGTTTGTTTGTTTGTTTATTTGTTTAATATTGTGAAATAATAAAAATACTTGATATTTGATGCAGCCATGGGAGACGTACAAAGCGGACGTCTCGATAGATCTGAAGAAGCATCACGTGCCAACGACTTTGTTGGACAGAATGGCTTACCGGACCGTCAAATCTCTCCGATGGCCTACTGATCTATTCTTCCAGGTATACATGGGGTATATATTTGGTTCTACTACATATATACGATATTCCTTTCAAATAATCAAATAGGTATAAAATCACAATTTCGATGATAAATTTACAAGTTATAAGGGTAAACTCTAACTCCATTCCATATGAATTTTGTTCCTTCGGTTTATGCAGAACAAGAAATTTCTTCTCCCTTCTTTCTTTTTTAAAGTTCATCTCGAGTTTATTTTCCTTTTCAAATTGACTGGAATTTTAGTTATTAATCTTCTGTGTACAATCATATTCACATCTTTTTTTTCAAAAGAGAACGACATAAGTCATATTCTGGTCTAGGAAGAAAGGAGTTGATGAATGTTTGCACTGCAGAAATTTTTTTGGTTTGCAGAGACTTGAAACGAAAGAGACGAGGGGAGAGAGAAGGAGAGAACGTGATGAGGAAATAGAGGGGAGGAGAGAGAAAAACGTTTCCCTTAATAATTTGTTTAACTCACTTTGGATTTAATAAAGAAAATTAATTAACTTAATTAGATTAAATCTCTACAATTAAAAGTAAAGTAATGCTAGGGAAACTAAATTTGTAGACTAAATTTTGTAAACTAAATGACATAGAAATTGATTATTGAATTATTACTTAAATGTTGATAAACGTGCTCATTTCTTATTGGTGACATGTAATTTAGTTGCAAAATAAGTCTACAAATTTAGTCTCCTTAGCATTACTCTTAAAAGTAAACAAATTTAATGGTTTAGAACTTGTGTAAAAAGGAGGCAGATTCTCTGCCCTCCCACTTCCCGTGCCCTCCTGTTTGTGTGGTCACGGTTAAGCCATATCAACATTTTATATTACTATTCCATTTTGTCTTATTATCTCTATAAAAAAATAATATAAAACGTTGACGTGGTTTAACCGTGACCACACAAAACAGGAGGGTACAAGAGGGCATGGAAAGTGCGAGGACAGAGAATCTGCTTCCGTGTAAAAAATATGATGTCACCGTCTTATAGTACCCTAATTAAGAGAATTGATAACACAACGACTAAAACTAAACAGTAAAGTGTGGTCATCATTTTCCAATTGTTATTAGTACTAAAAGAAAATCATATTTGCCTCATTATTTTGTTTTATATATCTTCATTAAAGAGTGACAAATGACTTTTTTCTTTTACGTGAATACTTTCTTGAATGTTTTAATCTTTATAGTGATTACTTGGGTATATGCATGCCTTTTTCATAATTAATTGTTCTCACAAACATGGCATCCCATGTCTGCCTTTTATTTTCCTATTTAACTAATTACATGATTTCTCGATGAATCAATTTATGTCTAAATAAAATTTGTTTGGCACTTTCTATCATGGTGAATCCGTAAATTTCTTGATTTTATAATAGTAGAGAAAATATTGCTATAGAAAGTGTGTTGCTCAAGTTTTGGTGCTCCTATATTAGGATCAACTGTTAATTAGGGTTTTTATTTACTTTGATTTATAATTTCTTGTGAAATAATATAATGCTGGGTGGGTGGGTAATGGGTATATACAATATCAGAGGCGGTATGGGTGCCGAGCAATGATGCTAGAAACAGTGGCAGCAGTTCCCGGAATGGTAGGAGGGATGCTGCTGCACTGCAAGTCCCTACGGCGGTTCGAGCACAGCGGAGGGTGGATCAAAGCTCTGCTGGAAGAAGCCGAGAACGAGCGAATGCACCTCATGACATTTATGGAAGTAGCTAACCCCAAGTGGTACGAGCGTGCCCTCGTCTTTGCGGTTCAAGGCGTCTTCTTCAACGCCTACTTCGTAGGGTATATGGTTTCCCCGAAATTCGCTCATCGAATGGTTGGGTACCTTGAGGAGGAAGCAATCCACTCGTACACTGAGTTCCTCAAGGAGCTGGATAAAGGGAACATAGAGAATGTGCCAGCTCCGGCGATTGCCATTGATTACTGGCAGCTGCCACCCGACTCGACTCTGAGAGATGTTGTTGCGGTTGTTAGGGCGGATGAGGCACACCACCGCGATGTCAATCACTTTGCATCGGTAATAAGGATTAACTTGTTTAAATCGATTCGGTTGTTCTTGCTTGATTAGTTTCAAATTGGTGTTTAATATCCTTATATGTGCCTTGAACTGCAGGATATACACTACAATGGACGGGAACTGAGGGAATCACCAGCTCCAATTGGTTATCACTGATGAAATGGCACTGTATTGCTTTATATAACAAAAGAAAACCAACGAAAAATCCAAAAAAAACTTCTCTTTTTAATGAAAAGTCATTTTTAAAGGTATAGTGAATAGTACCAAGAAAATGTATAAATATGGTTTTTTATTTAAAAGTGAACAGTACCAGAAGTGTTTTGTTAAAACTCCCTTATTACAATGTACAATTTCAGAATCCCAAATTTCACATGAAAATGTAGTATCAAGATGCACTTCTCGAATCGACACTTTGTACCTCCAAGTTGAGACATTTTGTATTTACTAGTTTGGAATTGGTAAATGCAAATGAGTTGGATGAAGATGACTAACTATTCTACGGGAGTGTCACAACCTCATACTCGTGGGCAATTCTAAGAGGTGATTGCTTAGAAACCGGCCTGTCCTCGGACCACAGCTCCAAATTAACAGTTCCAGTTCCCCAATGGATTAGGCACTTGTAAACTTGGCTAGCATCAAAGCGATTCACAAGCCCCAACCCAACGCATTTATCGATGAGCATCCATTCACCTGTCCAAAAATAACGACGAATTTTTTTTTATATCAGAGGTAAGTTGCAGCAATTCATGATACAACTCCGAGAAGAGTGAACTCAAAACTTTTCAAAAATGATTATTTTCAGCAGTTGAGCTCTACAGTCGTGCGGTTCATATAATGAATCAGCTCAGTTGTAGCCCAAAATGTGATAAATAACCATTCAGGGAAGACATCACAAATTTCCTCAGATATCTCTTTTCAAACTCTTATGTTGCAGTGACGATCTTCTAATATCAATTAGTGTCTAAGTAGGATCTAAGAAAACCAGATTTAAAAGGAGACTGCATTTGATAGAAAACAATGCCCCGTTGATAATTCGCGTCATCATCTCCACACACATTTGAGCAAGGGAAAGAATGATAATGGGGACTAATCCTTTTGCTCCACCTTCTGAAACCTAGGCAAGACTTGTAAACCACTCATTTACCCACGTCCATTTAACATGACCGACTACAAAGTTGCACTGTGTCCTCAGAGCATGGTGGAATATCGAATCCCATGGTGTGGTATGAGTTTCATGTTGCCTCTTTCCAATAGTCTAATCTTTCGGTTTCGGGACAATCCTTGTCAAAGTAAAAAACCTTAATAACCTAAATGTTTTTATGAATGTAATGACATAGAAAGCAAGAGGAAAAAGGAACAAGAAATGCTAAGAATCCCAAAATGTCTTCACTTCTCCAGTCACGTTGAGATCCTATGTTCTTAAACTAGGCAAGGCCTAAAACCCATACTTAGCTAATTTTCTTCTTTGTTGATTTGTTCGTACTCAAATTGTATCTAATATTATTGTTTTCCACACAAAACCCTCTGGAAGTAGAACATTCAAAATCAAAGTGGTATAGTCCATACTGTGTTGTTAGTCGTTTACTTAAGGGATCAAAAGTAGTTCTGCATCTTCAGTAGGATAATAAAATTCGAATGTCACTTTGTAATGAAGGTAAAAACACTGCAAGAAAGATAGCATTACCATTAGGCAGTAAATCCCCTTGAAACAACTGCTCATCGGATTCAGGCCAAATTTCATGCTTTGACCCATCGATGGCTGTAAATGAGACATAAGATTCTGTAGGGTGCAAGAGGGTGAACATTGGGTGTACTCTCAGGCAGACCAGCCTGCAAAGAAAAAATTACAAAACAAATTATGCAATATAACTTATATATTGTTTTTAAAAGGAAACCAAATTTTATTGCAAATGACAATAAATTAAAAGGCATAGAACTAAGAGGGGACAATGTATACAAATTTTTTACTGGTTATATGTTTGTGTGTGATTAGAGATAAAAGAAAAGGGATGGGAAATTGTAATTTGGAACAAACCTTGAATATCCACCAGAACCAGCACCAACTTTGCATGCTATAATGCTAGAGTCAATTCGGAAAACCTTGGGATCATTCTTTGGAATATGTAACTGTCGTTGGAGAACCAAACCACCCCCAATATCACCTTCTAACAGAATAGATTCCTCCTCTCCAGCATGCTCAAGATTCCGTCTGCATAGAGATTTGACAGAATAAAATGGAGCTACAAGAACTATCAAAATGTAAGGTTCGATATACAGATTGTGGATTCCTAACTACTGAGAGTACATACATGCACATCTGTACTTATATATGTATATTATTACCCTACCCATATGTATCCATTTACTCCCTTTATTTTTACTCGATCAGATTTAAAAAAAAAAAAAAAAAAAAAAAAAAAAAAAAAAAGGGATCCTTCATGAAGATTCAATGTGGCTCAAACTCTCACATATTTTGCAATGAACATAGAATGACGTATTAATTGATGGAAACTAGATAAAACACAATAATATGAAGTGAGGTGTAAAGTTGTGGTTTCACCCCTTCTTTTTTGCCTAACGCAAGAGCTTCATCGTACCCAGTGCACAAGGCTCCCGCTTTACGCAGGGTCTGGGAAAGGTGAATGTCGGCTAGCCTTACCCCCATTTTATGGAGAGGCTGCTCCCAAGTCTCGAACCCGAGACCTACCGCTCATGGGCGAAGGCACTTGCCATCGCACCAAGTGCGACCTCTTTGCCTAACGCAAGAGCTGTCTAGGATAAAAAACGACCTAATATTTTAAATTCCTACCGGTTAACAAAATCTTCAAAACCCAATGGGATGTTTGAGGCTCAAAACTAAAGGATTATTTACATGAAAAACTTTCTAGTTTGACTACAAGAATGTCTTTGGGAACTAAAGATACTTATGGCATAATGATTAAGCCTATTGGCTAAAAACCCCAATATTTTATTTCAGTAACTCACTCTGTAACATTGTATTCCTCAGTACATCCAGCAGAGCGGTACTCAGTACCACTATACTCTTCATACCCATTAATGTCAACTCTACTGTGAAGCCATTGTGTCCCTGCAATCACCACATGAAAGTATCAATCATAAGAGTATCACTAAAACAAAATTTAGTCTATTCAGCCTCATCACCCAAAAATGGGAAGAAAATGACTTAAACTCAGGGCGGGTTTAGAAATTTCTTTGATAGATAACGCCTTTGTGTAACAGAATAGACTCATGGTAGCTAAAAATCTCAGTCATTGCCAAACTACAAAATACATAGCAAACCTCATCCCTCACTTCAATATTTATCACTTCATGACTAACCCTCGTGCTCAAAATTTCCTAGCCTTTTGAGGCTATGGGTCAAAATTATAGGGTGGCCGATATGGCAGAGGTTTGTGCAGAACAAGAAAATTGGACTTTTTGGTTTTTTGAAGAAATTTATGTGAACATAAGAGATCAAGGAGTTTGCCACACTAGGGATTGTTTTGGAGAATATTCAGGTTTCAGCACATAGTCCACACTAGGAGTTTGCCACACTAGGGATTGTAACTTGTAAGATATTTTTAATTCTCCGTGTAATAACTGAAAGTAGACCCTTGCTGTGTTCCAGCCTGCTAAAATGATTTGAAAGTCCACTCCTAAGGTTCGCCTTTTGGCATGAATCGTATCTCAAAGAAGAGCAAACATTTGTAATTAGTCACAAACAAGAAGACCCAATATTTATCTTTCTCCTCATTGGTGTTATTAGTGCAAAAAGGAGGTTCATTTTAAACTCACTTAGTTTTACATTCTCTATGTTCTTTGGGGCTGTGGTGGCGGTTGGTTGAGGTTGCAGGGATTACTTGGGCTAAATTCTTAATTCATTCTTAAACATTCATTGTGAAAAGTATGTCTTTTGGTGGTGGAAAACTAGTATTTTGTGGAATCGTGCAGTGGTAGCTGTTCCTTGGGTAATTTTGTTGGACAGAAAAATAAATCTATTTGATAACTAGTGGAGTGAAGTATGATATCCACCATGAGTACATGAATATTGGACAATGGTTTATTCACAAGTTAATATATTTAGCGACCATATAAATAAAATACATTCTACATATATTAATAAATAAAAGATAATCGTAAAAGTACTACCTGAAGGGCGGTGCATCATGGAAATAATTCTACCACCAATCCAGGGAACGACTTTAATATCCCAATCACCACCTTTCAGTTCAATAGGAATCCTCGAAAGTTCTATTCCTTTGTGCGCAGAAGTCACTTCCGCATCTGGAATAGGCTTGGCAGTTTCTACATTAACAATTTAAGATGCATTAGTCAGGAGCACTGTCACTGATACATGCATTAATCAGGAACATCCCAATTTCAGTCTGCTCAATGATTGGGACCATCCATTTTTTAGGTCCTGTACTAAGGATCATCCTTGCCCTTGCTTTATGAAATCCAGATGGTTACATGAGGCCTACTTCATGCAATCTATTTAGACAGTTTCAGAGAAGTTAATTATAGCTGAAAACTAAGTGGCATTAGCAAAACTTTAGCTACACGTTGAGGATAATATGAGACCGAATAAAGTAAGAATAGAAGTGTTACCCAAACGAGTTCGGTATTGCTTCTCACTAGTGGAAACCAGCTTCCCAACTTCCTGTTCTGAAGGCATTACAATTTGAAGAACCTCTCCATCATTGCCCCATGTATCAACCTGTTTGAGGGATTCAGGATTGATATGGTACTTTATTAGCACAAGATAGTCTCAGACACCTAATTGGTATACCTCCAGAAAAGAAGCCATACCATTGCCCCTCCACCAAGCAATAATTGCACATGTAGCCGACGTTTTGGCCTCTTCCAAGATCCTTCAGTTTTTAAAACTTTAACGGTAACAGTAGAAGATTGAAGTTCAGCAATATAGTGTGTCAACAAGAATCCACCATTCATGAACTCGTATCCATCACCATCATCTTCATAGAGAACACCTTTAGCTTTCCCTGTAAATAATGAGATCATTCATAAAGCTTCTAAGTGCAAAGTTTTTACTACAAATGTTGAAAAACAAAACCTAATTGTAATTCTTTCCTAATAAGAACTGGTTTTATTAAGAAAAACGAGAAGAACTGCAAAACACATGGATTATGGACTCCTCTTCATGTTGTCAAGGCCTTAGAGCTATCTCCAATTGAAATTTTTTATGGTTCTAGTGAACATAATTTTTATTCAAGACGAGATACAACTTTTGATCAATTAGTTAGGCAAGATTTTCAAAATTAGGTTGTCCTAATTAATCCTTCTGGGTTCAACCTCATAATTTCTTATGTATATTATAATGGATAGGTACATACCAAGTATGATAAATCATTTGACCTCAAGTACGGCAAGACCACTAAAACTTGAAACTGTTGATGTTACTAAATAACAACCAAACAATCCAATTTTTTCGGGAGGAAATTGACAGAACACAATTACCATCTTCATCTAAAGCCACAAGGAGTGTCAAGTCTTCTAATTGATCAGATTCGCCAAGATGCTGATGAGGAGGACCCACGGGAATAATTGCTCCACCTTGCAAATATAAAGCTGGTAAATCCTGCAATAACCAGAAGAGAATGAAAAGAGAAACAAAGAAATGAGGTGGAAAGTAAATATTAAGACAAAATTGGAAACTTAAACATATCAATATGTACGGTAATACATACTGGATGTGAATCACCAAAATCAAAACTCAACCAAATTCCTTTGGGCAATGTGAACTGCAAACTATCCATCCCCTGACCAGGCTCAGTGCTGACCATGAAAAAAAGGATGTCAAAACAAAATGTGAGGATCATTTCTAATCAATGAAATTCCAAAACTGAATCCCCTCTACACCATCCATGAATTAAATTTAACCAGAAAGCATTCACACATCAGGTTCAGAGGGAACAGTAATAAATATATAACTTTTTGTATATTTCCCAATGATGGAAGCAAACTATAAGGTGGAAATAAAAAGTCAGGAACACAAGAGTGATAGAATCACATCCAACTGAAGCAGGAAAGGAAGTAACACTTAATTCTAACCAAAATCTTTGGTAAACTCAGGTCTTAGTTCTCACAACAGAAAATAAACAATTTAGAAAAGATATTGCAAGCACATTGACTATTGCATGATGCATATAAATGTATTGCATGAGGCAACTGTTCTGCAAAGTTGTTTTTCTATATAAATGAAAAGATTTCCTAATAAGAAGAGGTAAAACAGAAGATTGGTAAGCCTTTTTTTCTCAAAGATGATGTCAAATTCACTATCGGTCTGCTAAAAAGCACAAGGACAGACTACAAAAACCATAGAAGATGGAAGCTGAACAATAAAAAGCATAATGTAAAATGATTTGGCTTTTTATCTTGTGGGAAAAGTGCGAGAACCTGGCAATGACTAGAAGTGGACCCAACAAAAAAGAATTCTCCAATTTCCTTAAGCTGGAGTCCTTGAGATCTACACAAGCATTTGACAATGTAATTAGCTGCTTAAAAAGGTGATCAGGTCCAATAGACAATTCAACAGCATAAAAAACCCACCAGCAAAAAATGTAGGACTTGCCACTGGAGTGCCTGTTGTATGAGCCATATAGAAGAGAGTGTAAATATGTGGTAGAAGACGGTAGCGCCTAATTAATGCCAAACGGCATACTTCTTCACACTGACATAAAATTGAAATTAGTTCTGAATCATGGTAGGCACAAAACCATCCGTAAATCTAAAAACACAAAAGCACAAATTAAACAAGCAGCAGTGGATTGCAACAAACTGAATATCATTTTCTGCATGATTGATTTCACATGAGAGTTGAGGTAACGTCATAAACTGAAGTAAAACAGAACATACGATCAAAGCACTGAAGTAAATTTGGGCATCAAAGTTGCAAGATCAAAGTACAGGGTATCTTTCTCTCCCGACAGAAGCATGCTCTGGACTTATAAAAGAACATAGATTGGAGATGATACTTGGCCAAGGTGGTGAGACACTGCTGCTCCATGGAGGAGAAGCAGTTTCATTTCTTCTTTTAGCATTATAGAGTGTTTACATTTTTACATATTTTCAAAAGGCCATGTGTCTTTTTACAGTTTGTTATCTTTTTATTTTCTATGTGGTGTAAATTTGGCATCCCTGTCACAAAAATGGGTCCCACACAGCAGGTAAGGGTCCAACTAACTGAGGGTTGACATCACATGGTATCCAAAATTTAGGTTTATCATTGCAACGTTTTAAAGTTTAGGGTGCAAAGTGAATTTCAGTGACCATTCAGGTTTCGATTGTGAAATTGAATGCTCTTTAGAGATTCTTTGTGCTGTTAAGATTGTGTACCTTTTATCTACTGCTGGATTCTTTTTTGTACGTTTTTGAAACATTTTATCTATATATAATTATTATATATATATACACACACACAACACACGTGTGTGTATATATATATATATATATATATATATATATATATATATGTATATATACATATACATGTCTACAACTCTATATATATATATATAACATAACAGTATATGTAGAAACCACAGAAGCATTAGACTTTTTAGGGTTTGTCAACATAATTACGAGTATATAAATTGTTCCAACTTCCTTACAACAACAACAACAAAGCCTTTTCCCATTAAGTGGGGTCGGCTATATGAATCCTAGAACGCCATTGCGCTCGGTTCTGTGTCATTTCTTCCGTTAGATCCAAGTACTCCAAATCTTTTCTTAGGGTCTTTTCCAAAGTTTTCCTAGGTCTTCCTTTAATCTTTCGACTCTGAACCTCTGTCCCGTAGTCATATCTTCTAACCAGAGCGTCAGTAGGCCTTCTTTGCACATGTCCAAACCACCGTAACTGATTTTCTCTCATATTTCCTTCAATTTCGGCTACTCCTATTTTACCTCGGATATCCTCATTCCTAATCTTATCCTTTCTCGTGTGCCCACACATCCAACGAAGCATCCTCGTCTCCGCTACACCCATTTTATGTACATGTTAGATTCTTCACCGCCCAACATTCTGTGCCATACAGCATCGCCGGCCTTATTGCCATCCTATAAAATTTTCCCTTGAGCTTCAGTGGTATACGGCGATCACACAACACGCCAGATGCACTCTTCCACTTCATCCATCCAGCTTGTATTCTATGGTTGAGGTCTCCATCTAATTCTCCGTTCTTTTGCAAGATAGATCCTAGGTAGCAAAAGCAGTCGCTCTTTGGTATTTCCTGATCTCCGATCCTCACCCCTAACTCATTTTGGCCTCCATTTGCACTGAACTTGCACTCCATATATTCTGTCTTTGATCGGCTTAGGCGAAGACCTTTAGATTCCAACACTTCTCTCCAAAGGTTAAGCTTCGCATTTACCGCTTCCTGAGTTTCATCTATCAACACTATATCGTCTGCGAAAAACATACACCAAGGGATATCATCTTGAATATGTCATGTTAACTCATCCATTACCAATGCAAAAAGGTAAGGACTTAAGGATGAGCCTTGATGTAACCCTTCAGTTATGAGGAAGCTTTCGGTTTGTCCTTCATGAGTTCTTACGACAATCCTTGCTCCATCATACATATCCTTTATAGCTTGGATACATGCTACTTGTACTCCTTTCTTCTCTAAAATCCTCCAAAGAATGTCTCTTGGAACCCTATCATACGCTTTTTCCAAATCTATAAAGACCATGTGTAAATCTTTTTTCCCATCTCTATATCTTTCCATCAATCTTCGTAAGAGATAGATTGCCTCCATGGTTGAGCATCCTAGCATGAACCCGAATTGGTTGTCCGAAACCCGTGTCTCTTGCCTCAATCTATGCTCAATGACTCTCTCCCAAAGCTTCATTGTATGACTCATTAGCTTAATACCTCTATAGTTCATGCAATTTTGTACGTCGCCCTTATTCTTGTAGATAGGCACCAAAGTGCATAAAGAAACATGGAGCTGCATAGAAAACACACCCAAAACCTAGGTTTCCAAGTGTTTTATTTTGTAAGTAATAAATGATTAGAAATTAAAATCATAGGGGCACTACACAAAAATAATTGGAAAAACTAATAGAGTAGAAGACATAGCTGGAGTCCTATATGTATAACAGTTATTATCTGGTTTGAAAGAAGATTATCTTACTCCACTGTAACGGTAAAGTGGCTCAACCAGATGCACCAGCCACCATAAATAAAGGGATAATTCAGGAAACACAAAACTTTTTCATAAAGCTCAAGCAGGACAAACCTCTTCCCCAAACGACCAGGGCTCATGGTCAATCGTGTCCATTTCAGAGTGCCCACGGCAAAAGGGAAACATAGAACCTATACCCATCCACCGTCCAAAGAGCTTGGGTGTTGCATTTCCACCAAAACCACCAATATCAGGCCCTGATAGTGGCTGACCACTAAGTCCCTGAAAACAAAGTCAAAGTAATTACAAAAAGGGTAGGACAAAGATGCTCAGACAAACTTTTTTTTTTATGTATTTTGGGTGGGGGTTCATCCCCTTTAAAAATAATTCAAACCTTTGAAAAATCTCAAACTAATATTGTCATTAAGACTGAAGGAAAAAAGAAGAAGGAAATATTAAGAGCACGGATGTGTGTGCGTGAGAGAGAGAGAGAGCATATGAAGCACAAATAAGAATGTAGCTGCCAATAAATATAGCTTATCGAAAGAAAATACTTATAACAGAAAGTCTAGAGAAGAAGAGTTGACCATATATATTTAAATTCAACCTTCTTTTGTAGATATGATCTGTCATACAGAGCACACATGGTTCTTGTACAACAAACCAACTATAGATGAACAGGCAAGGAAAACAAATTGAAGTCTGCAACTTTGCTATAGGTAAACAGTGAGTAAACATACCAATTGAAGAACCATGGAAATGCTCATATGGAGGTGCTCCCAAGTTGAAAGATTATCTCCTGTCCACGTTGCAGCATACCGTTGGCTACCACTAAATCCAGCTCTGGTGAGAACAAAAGGGCGTTTTTTTTCATTACCCAGCTTCATTCCTTCATAAGTAGACCTTGCCATTAGCATGCCATAGACCTAGAATGCAGAAAAATCAGCAAACTGAAGCTCAGAAGTTTTGCACATATAGTATTGGTGATACAACAATGAAACAAAAGACATTCACAAACCAGTACGGCTCATTCGCCTACCAGGATGCCATAAGAAAGGGATGTTCAAAAGAGTTGAACCTAAAAGGCTAAAACTAACTGTGAAAAGCACGTAATATGAAGAACACAGCAGTAAGGTTGAGTAAATTATACATTGTGATAGTGTGAATGATTCTGACACCCTCCAAGTTCATCATCCCCCTTATGAATATTGCTCTCGGGCATCGTTTTTGTGACAGTCTGAAAAAGGGAGCAAGGAAAATAGATTCAACACCAATGAAAAAACTGCAAGGCACAATAAACAATTATAAAGCTACCTTAAAAACAGCTGGTTCATTCATATCATTCCATATTCCGTCAACACCATTTAAAGTGAAATCTTTGACTAAATTGGACCACCAAGATCGAACTTTTGCCTGTGTGTAGTCTGGAAAAACACAAGGCCCAGGCCACACGTCCCCTGAAAATGGAAAGAAAATCTTAACATGGTAACTTATTAGGTTCGGTTTCTATTTCCATTACATAGAGAAAATGTACCAACAAATGGTCTTCCATCTGCCCTTGAAATCCAGACATCACTTTTACAACCACTATCATAGACAAAATAACCATCTTCCTGTTTTATCCCTGGGTCAAGCATCCAGATGGCCTTGATACCATTTTGATTTAGACCCTTTACCAATGATTTCGGATCTGGAAAGCGCTCCTGAAAGATATCATCAAAATGAAATTGCTTTGTAAGGAATGAAACTAAGAATCCATTGTGTTTATAGGAACAGAACAATGTTCCTGAAAGATATCGTCATGATGAAATTCTTTTGTAAGGAATGACAGTCCAATGCCCATTCTGTTAATAGGAAGACAACAGCTTTATATAATAACAGGAACAGTAAACATATACAGTGAACCAGTAGTCCATAGAGGGATCACTAAACACAACCACCACAATGGGCAGCAATACAAACATTGAACAGAAGACCAATAAAATACAGCCAAACAACCTGGACCATAAAAAAATACACAATGGGCCTAGGAAACACTCCTACAGTCTAACCTTGATCCATAAGAAATTAAATGCAGTCCCACTGTTATCCACAAAATTATGCCATTCTTTTAGCCAAACCACCCGAAAGAACTGTTGGTGTTTACTTTACTTCTAGAATGAGAGTACTATTCTAATTTCCTAGGCTCAGTTTAATACAAATACATAAGTGTAGGATTGAGAAGTGTCTCATACTAGAACTATTTGACTTGCTCACGATCTTGTCCATTGTTGATTGAGCCAACAATGACAACATCTGCGTATGTCAGTCCATAATGAATGGCAATAAGTTTCTCATCCAAAATAAAATAAAATAGATTCCACCAGAGCGTTCAAATTAGCCCACTCTTAACTGTTCATGATGGTGTATTTGTTAGAAGAACATAATAAAGGACAACTTTCAACGCAATTAGAAGTCAAGCAACTTCAAGCAACCAGTTTATGCAATTCTTAGTATAGTTCGGTAAACTTACTAGTGACAGTACATGTATTTCTGAAGAAGACTATGCTTGATTTTTGGAGGCTTTCTCAGAGAATTAACTTTTTCCTTCACGATGGGGTTGAAGTTGGAGCACGTACGAGGTTTTCCAAGAGTAACTTTACTCACTAGCTGCTTGGCTTAGTTGTTTTCTTATCAATTATGTATCATATAATTTTATATGCTGTTTATAGTCTTTTCTTAAATGGTCATGTGACAGTCGTGTGACTTTTTCAGTATTCTGGGAGGACTGCTACTAAATACTTGTTTAAGCAGTCAAGGGCAAGGATGTTACCAGACTTTGTATTCTTTTTTCCCCTCAGAAACATCAGAAAGATTCCCTTGGGATCTTTTCCCTGGAACTCATCTATCTAGCTACCGACTTTGATCCTATTTCTCATAGCTTCAGAGGTTGAAGTCAATAACAACATCTTAATTACGATAGTACGCTACAGATGGCTTCAAATGGTTAGTTTCAGTCAATCATAAAATGGGACATTTCATAGATGTTGTTCTGTAACTTTAATTCTTTTTTATTTTTTTGTCTTTTCAGTGCATGTTACTAGTTTCTCGTGTGGTTATTAATGCCACAGCTACACACCAACAAGCTACACTTATGTTTACACTTCACACCACATAAGTTGCGGGTCTGACAAGCAATTAAATATGTCCATGTAAATTCTCTCTACATCTCCAAAAGTAACATAAAATGAGACGACTCACACTAGAAGTAAAAGTCAAAGACATCCAGAAAAATTCCACAAATGAACCCAGTCGAAACGACTCATTCAAAATAGCACCAAGCTAATCAGAAGACATGATGTGATGGAAACCACCCAATGTATAGTCACTAATAAAGAACATTTAAGGGAAAGTATACCTTGTCAAAAGTGAAACAACGAAAGCCATCCATGTAATCAATATCCATCCATATGACGTCACAAGGAATACCCTTCGCTCGAAATGTTCTTGTAATCTGCAAGTGTAAGCCGGTCAATGATCATGCAAATTGATCACATGCTGTAGAAATTTGTACTAACTATATGTGTCAAAGAATTTACATAACTATGATGTAAAACTGGTGAGATTCTAGTTGTCAAGCTCATTTATATGTTGTCCGTATCACCATAAACAATTGATGGCATTGTATTTGAAAATGTATTTGACGAAACATGTAACCAACAAGAGAAAGTGAGAGAAAACTAAGCATGGGTGATAGCCTAAGAAAGAGAGAGAGAGAGAGAGAGAGTTTTAACTTGAGATATTTTTTATGAACCTACCTCTTGAACTTTCTTATCAGAGTCATAGCTCCAACGACATTGATGATAGCCTAAGGACCACTTTGGGGGCATAAATACAGTCCCTAGTGAGAAAATTAGCAACAATAAAAACAAATACACTAAAATTAAAAAGAATTATCAAAAGAAATCACATAACATATAACTTCTGTCATATACCTGTGTTCTCTTCAAAACTCACCACATTTAGTACTTATATTATTAAATTTATCTTATATTACATGTATATTAGACGTCAAATTGAAATTATGAATGCTAAGACAATTTATTAAATGTCAATGCAAAATTCAGCACTAGAAGACTCGTACAACTATCAAATTATCATAATTTGTACAAACTTAATTATAAGGCTCTTCAACTGGGTGTACAATCCTACAGTTCGGTCACATTTTAGTCAAAAGAAAGAGGAAATGAAATAGACAGGAAGAAAACTTGAATCATGAATTAGTACCAACAAGCACTTCCCCCTTTACTTTCTATATACGTGTGTGTGTGCATATATTGTATGGTTCACTTTGATAGCATAAGAGAACATGGTAAATAGTTAAAGAACTTACCAATTACATGTGATAAAGATATCAAAACACCATCAGGTGAAGCAAATGGACCGAATGTAACGACCGGATAAGAGGATGGAGCAATGAACTGTATCATCGATTCTTTCCTCAGATCAATCTGCTCATAAGAAAATACAATTAATCAAAAAGTAGGTCAATAAATTTACAAGTTTAACGTTCACAATTTCACATATAAGTTACACCAAAAGGGAAGAGATTCAGATGTCATGGCACCTCACAGCGCCGTGTTGTATCAGCAAGAATTCCTAATGCCTCTCCAGTTGGAAGAACAGCCAGCACCCAAGGATGTGACTGATACAATGATGTAGTTCCAGGACCATAGCCCCATGCATCCGTGTTCCAAGTAAAAACCTTAAATCAAACAGAAGTACAAAATATTTAGGAGAGGGGAAACTTTCCATGGATGGACCAACAAAAGTGACTTACTCTTTTCCCTGTTCGCTCAAGTTGCCCACTAACTTCCCCAGTTCCATAGAAAGAGGTCCCGGAAGGAAGCTACACCAGAAGCAATTCTATCACGTTAGTTGATGCATAGGGGAATTCTCACATTGCAAGGGCAATACACTTGTTAAGAAAACACAAAAAGAAATAGCTAATAATAAGAGCACCAAATGCAGTATGAAAGCCCATTGCTGACCTCAAGTTTGACAATCTGCTGCCCCAAAAGGCATTCGAAACTTGGGACATATGAAGGTGTGTTGTGATTCATTATTGGTGTTTCTCTATCCTTGCTATTAGTAAAAGAGACACTAGGATGTGCTGCATTTCGATCATTTGCAGAACAATCAAATCGGAATATTCCATCCTCAACAATAGGCTCGAATCATAGCTCCTGACGTGGCATCTGCAGCGACTGCCTTCCCTTTGTAATCAGCCATTTTAGATACCAAACATTCAGTAACCAACCTTTCAGCAGACCTCTTCTTTCTGCATGCCAAAATTTTCACCGTAAATCTTTCAGTAATGATCAAACTCCTTGCACGAGAAACAACAATATCCTAAGGGAAAGTGCATTTTTGAATCCAACAGTTTACTCCACATCTTTATGACAAAATACTGAAACAAAGATTACTTAATCATTTTGGAAAATACAAAACAGAGAAATTTGAGTGTGCTTGTATCCTTTGAGAAAGTATCACAACTCAGCTACCACACAATTATTATAAAATGGTGCATTTCAATATCTAGATGTACATATATGCAACCTTTTTAATTTTCGCCTGGACCAGATGAATTAAAGAGGATAGCCGACCCCACTTAGTGAGAAAAGGCTTTGTTGTTGTTGTTGTTGTTGGACCAGATGAATTAAAGAGGATCAAAGACAGAAATTAACAAGGATGTGTGAGAAATAAAAAGAGGTGTGTAGATAGCACACCCCATATGCATATCTTTTAAACCATTTCTTGATTTATACTCCCCACCCTTGGCCTTGCGAAGGGAAATGTCATTTCTCGTATATGAAAATCTACGTCTACCATAAGAAAAATGAAACTTTAACGAAAAACTCTGCTACCGTTTATTTTAACGAAAAATCATATTTTTACGCTAAAAAATCAATCATGGACTATTCACTTTACCCTTTATTTTGTCATTTTCGTTAAAACTCAAAATTTTCAAACTATTTTAATTAGTTTTCCTTAAGGAAAAAGATTAAAAGATAAATTAAAAAGAGTTTCTAATGCTACATACACATTAAGCTGGAGTCATTGGTTGCCATTGAATATACCAAATACTTACACTGTGGATTGGAAATTTGGAAGGATCTCGACATGGAAATTGCAAAGAATCACTCAGATCATCATATTTGATCCTTAATTACTACTTAATTTGGAATTCGGATTGCATTAAATAAAGTGACAAGTAATAAGAACCTGATGGTGATGATCCCAAATTCAAGAGCACGGAGGTTCCTCAATCCGACCACCGCAAACGGAGAAAGAGGATGCCTCAGAGCGAATTTCGATGATCCTCCTCCGCCACCAACTACACTGCCACTCACTGCTACTCCTACCTCTCCCATTTCTCACCGCACTCCCTCATTTAATACTTTATTATTTATTTATTTATTTATTATTTTTGTGATTGAACAGGCAACTTCCCATTGGGCCTTTGGGTCCTTGACGACAATGACACATGCGCTGCTTCTGGAAATGCGAAGCTCTCCCGTGAATCAACAACATATCTGACACCTTATTTGTCGTTTTGTATTCGCAACCCCGAATAAGTAACTGAGAGATGACACGTATGGGATTCTTTTAGGAGCCTGACTCGTAATTGGATCACAAACGAATCGGAGTGACAAAAGGGTCTTTCCACTTGAGCAAAGTTGAAACTCAATCAAGTGTTTTTCAAATGATAGGATTCGGAATAAAACAATTGGTTGGTTGATTACTTAAATACCCTAGAAGAAAACAAATTTTACTTTTCATCATTGAAAAATGTGAGGGTAGTTTTGATGTTAAAAGTTTCATCTCACCTTCTCCTTAGGAATGTCATCTCATTGGTATATATGTGGTTGTTAACTCAAAATTTGTAAGTTAACAAACTAGAACAATTAGTCTTTAATGGGCTCGATTTTAAAGCTATAAATGAAATGAACTCAAGATATAGGTGGTTCATCCCTCAAAACTAGGCTACATATATTGTGTTGCTCTAAATATATGATTCAAACGTTACAAATGACGTTTGATTAAAGATTAGTATTCTCTTTCTTCTCAATCGTCCTACCCCATTACACGAGGTTCCCACTCCTTTATGTAGGCCCTCAATGAATCCAAAAAGCCTTGGGCTCATCTATTTTTACCTTTCTAGCATTTAATGCGCCACCTACATTGATTGGTGTGCTGACAATATTTTTGCCCGTCAGTCGATTTCAGTAAGGAAGTGACAATTACTCAGTCGAGATTGCACATATTTCTTGATCATTATGTGCCAAGCAATGTGCTCTGCCTTGACTAGTCAACGATCCCTCTTCCAAGTAGTGGCCCAACTATCTTTATGTCTTGTCCTAGACTTATGCCACTGACTGGTGATCGACACGTAGCCTGATTGGTGTTTGGGTAGGTCTGCTCCTAAAGTTTTCTGTCGTAAAGTTGCTAGTCTTCCCATGTGTCCTTAACGGTCGGAAAGTATTTTATGTTGCTTAGTTGAACCAAACTCGTGTTCGATTGGCTATAGCGCTAAAAAATGCCTCATTCTAATTCGTTTGGGCCTTGGACTTCCTGTTCTTTTTTTAGACTTTGACCTTTATTGGGCATTTTGTGGTTTTTTCCCTGCAAGTACTATTTTGAGGGTCAAAAAGTACCCCGCATTAACAACTCCCCCAACTCCTCGTTCAATGGTTCCTTCTTGGGCATGGAGTTATAACAGTCGATCGGACCTCAAAACAATTAATGGCTGGAAAGAGCACCTTGGGCGCTTATTTCTTATAGAGCACTCCAGGTCGAATGGTTTGTCTAGTGCTTGGTTATGTCTTGTCGTCGTTTCATCTAGAAAAACGATTGGGCATGTTTGTGCAAATGGTATACGTGTCAGTGATAGATTGGCAGAGTGATCGAGGCGCCTTTGCATCGATGCATTACAGGGCAAGCGTGGCTTTATGCACCGTGATGTCTCTTCACATCTATTGGAACCAAATTCGCATACATTCGTGGACGGAGGCGAAATCCAATCAGAATAGCCCATGATCTTCGGTAATGGGGTTGATTGGGGGTGTGGTTGAATCTGAATAGGATTACCAACATATCTCCAGGAAGTAAAATCAAACAATGGATGTAGTTCTAAGAAAGAATGGAGTTAACCATCTTTAAGGAATAGCCTATGGCAGGGTGCTAAGAAGATGAGTTCTCCATGGATGTGTCTACACGCAGACGGTGGTGTAAGGGCCTCTCTATTAGCGATAGAGAGAATATGTATGTCTTGTATAAAATAATTGACATAGAGAAAGATAGATGTGGATGTCCCCTTGATAAATACACAAGCTAGTGTATTTATAGGGATCTTGAGAGTCTTTGTAGGGAAAGTAATCTTCATCATATCGGGAGACTATTTAGGAGGAAATCTAGGATAAGATACCTAATCCTCATAGAATCTTGATTATGTTGCCTAATCCCTAAGATATCTTAATTTGACTTGAATCAGGTTTCCTCACTTGGTAGACATCTTCAAGAGGCCAAACCTTAGTGTGGAGTCAAAAATATTCACTATGCGACACGTGGACTTTTGGACAAAAGAGGACAAAAATACCCTTGAGGCATACCAGGATTCCTACGCGCGAGCAGCGGGCAATCATCTTTCAATCAAGTCAAAAGTGCCCAAAAAAGGTAACAATTAAAAACCTCTTTCATCAAATCCTTTCTATAAGGTATTTCCCAAAACCTAGTATTTTCTATTTCATTATTTAGCTAATCAATTAGCTAAATAATATATACCTACCATATCTCCTAAAATCATCCTTAATAGTCAATAAAATCACTCAAATTGATAGTCAAAGCCGGCCACCACCATTCCCATCCTCACATTTCCCATTTTCCTTATTAAAATAGTCATTCATTTTTATAACCACCCATTTATTCTTTTCATATTTAATTAGCCAATAAATTGGCTAATTAAACATGAAATTGAACCCCACAAAAAACCTTTAGTGGCTGGTTACTTTTATTCAAAATTGGACAAGGCCTAACTCTATAAATAGGCACCTATTCTCACAAAAAATTGATTCGAATCCTCTTGCAAAAAATCCTAAACACTCTAAACACTTTTTTTCTCTAAAATTCTAACTTTGGCATCGGAGGTTCTTCGGCCAAAGCCCCCCCCCCCATTCATCGTGGGCGCGTGAGGCTTTTGGCCTTAACCTAAGGTGCTAGTTGTTTTGTAGGTGCAAAATCGTCCAAGATCGAGGAGGAGAAAATTTGCATCCACAAATTGGTGCTTTCATTGAGAGTTGAAATCCATACTCGTAAAAGACTCTCGTGCAAAAAGGTTTTTTCTTTGTTTTCTAGTTCATTTGAATATTTTTCATACGTTCTTATTTATAGAATTTTTTACTTGCAAAGGTTGTTTGATAAAACGTATAAGAAAAATATAATGGCTAGAAATTTAGAAAATTCCACAAGTGAAAATTCTAATATTCAAGAAATGGGATTGCGGAGATCCGTGAGGCAAAATGCGACAATAAGGGGAGTGGCATCATCACCACGAGTTTCCACCATGGGAACCACTGTGGTGGCTACCTCGGTAGCCACTCGCGGCGAGGTCCATGGTGCCTTCACCACGCCCACCATGGGAACCACCGCGGTGGCTACTTCGGTAGCCACTCGTGGCGAGGTCTATGGAGCCTTCACCATGGCCCGAGCCGTGCCATCCAAGGCTCACGGTACCAAGACCATGATCCAAGCCGTGCCATCCAAGTTTACGTGGACCCAAGCCCAAGCCTCGCATTCACATGCACCGCGCATTGAGCAGCCTGCTCCTGTGATCCAGCCTGCTCTTGTAGCCCAGCCTGCTCCAACGATCCAGCCTGCCCCAGTGATCCAGCCTACCCCCGCAGCCCAGCCTGCTCTCATGGTTTCCCAAGCTGCCCAAGTCGGCCCGAGACAATCTCAACCATCCGGACCAATCATCGAGGCTGAGGCGTTTTCACCACATTTCTCTGCAGATTTGACATTCCCCAACTCAAATCTCACACTTGGAGTCAACCACCCTTTTATTGTTCAAGGAGGTGCATTCCATCCAAGTTCTTCCAATCCGAATGGCGAGCAAAACTTGTCCCGACAAGTCATAGAATTGACGAGCGCCTTTGCACAACAAACTACCTTGGTGAATCAACTTTTACAACGCACTGAGATGCAACGCGCCCATGATGAAGTTTCCCGAAGTAGAACAAGGGTAGACAAAGAGCCTTTTAAGCAGCGACCTGGAAAACAGCC